TTATTTTTTGAGAACAGAGTCTTACTCTGTCACCAGGCTGGAGTGCAGTGGTGTGATCTTGGCTCACTGCAACCTCCACCTCCCAGGCTCAAACAATCCTCCTCCCTCAGCCTCCTGAACAGTGGGGACCACACATGTGTACCACCCTGCCCAGCTAATTTTTTGTATTTTTGATAGAGAGTGGGTTTCACTGTGTTGCCCAAGCTGATCTCAAACTCCTGGGTTCAGGCTTTCCATCTGCCACCCTCCCAAAATGCTGTGATTACAGATGGCGAGCAACTGTGCCCAGCCCCATTATATATTTTTTAAAAAAGTAATTTTAATGACCTCATCCCTTAGTAGTACCTGTTGAGGAGAACTGTGTGGTAGCCACATTGTTATTCATTCAACTGTGTTGCTTCTTTCAGATCAGCTTAGTCATCATGGATAAGTGGAGACCTTGTGAGTTAGTCTTACTTGCCCTCCCGTGTTCAGCTCCCTTGTAACCTAGAAAATAATCTCCTTTTACTGAGTTTGGGGTCTTCTTGCTCTTTTTTTTTTTTTTTTTTTTTTTTTTTGAGAGGGAGTCTCACTCTGTCGCCCAGGCTGGAGTGCAGTGGAGCAATCTTGGCTTACTGCAACCTCTGCCTTCCGGTTTTAAGTAATTCTCCTGCCTCAACCTCCTGAATAGCTGAGATTACAGGCACGTGCCATCGCACCCTGCTGATTTTAGTATTTTTTTTTGTGGAGATGGGGTTTCACCATGTTGGTTAGGCTGATCTTGAACTCCTGACCTCAAGAGATCTGTTTGCCTCAGCCTCGCAAAGTGCTGGGATTACAGTTGTGAGCCACCACACCTGGCTCTTTTTTTTTTTTTTTTTTTTTTTTTAAGGGACTGATATGTCAACTTTACTTATTTTCTCTATACATACCTTTATTTGTACTGAAAATTGTAAAAATAGCACAAAGTTTCCTCTTATTGCAGTCCAAAGTTTTTGAAAGCCAGAAAATATGCTGTAGCCAAACTACCCAATGCTCTCTTTACATTCCTTCCCAAGTGACTTTGCTTCAAATTCTTAATGTTGGGTTTCATCTCACTGACTTTAGGCTTCTAAAACACATGGGAATACTTTTGCCCTCTTGGTGCTTCTTTGGATTAGAGCAAATAGAGCTAAACTATGCTGAAGTTATTCAAGTACATTCAAACTACACAGATCCTTTATAAATTATTAGTATCATGGTAGGAAGGAAAAGATACAAGAAGAAAAATACATCCTAGAACTCATTATCAAAATTATTGATATACGGTCTATCCAAGCATAGGGTAACTTTTTCAACCTGCTACATAAAATTACCAGCAAGAAAGAAAAGTATAAGAAAAAGGTTTATAGCTGAAGTGGCTAATGTCATAATTCCCTATTCTAGCATTCTCAGAAGGATCTTATCGGTTATACATGTAGAAACTACAGGGACATCTGAATGGTCCATTTCTTGATTCATTCTGAACTCCCTTAAGCCTAGTGTTTGTTAGTTCTCTTTCAAGCCTAGGAACTCTGCCAAGTAACATGTATCTCGATTTTGCCATCCTTTTCTTTCTGCATAGATAGTAATGTTCTTACCCCTTTCCTGTAGAGCAAGTCATCTCTGATTTCCCCGAGGATCATTGCTCCTGTATACTGTTGTTGGAGTGAACCTTCTGGTAGATGGGAAGGGAAATTTGGTACTGGGGTTGATAGTCAAGTTACTAAAGTTCTTTATCAACATCTCGAAGCAGAAGTTTTGAGAGGCCCCTGAATCATCCTGGGAATTTTCTTCAGTGAGCATTTGTGAAGACTCTGGGACCAAGGTTGGATCAAACTTTTGTGATGTGCCCATTGGCGATCTTGACACAATTCTCTCTCTCTCTCTTTTTTTTTTTTTTTT